TGTAAAAAAACAATGTCGTATACTGATCACCCTTTAACACACTCCAACTCTACTTTACCAAAACAATATTGGTGACACCTGGCAGGCCATGCGAGCAGAATTACAGAAAGCCCTTGACAAAAATGAGGCCGGAACAAACAACAGTACTAAGTATAATTATGCATATGTCTTAAGATCATCTTGTCAAATTAAACCGAATAGCACAGCACATGTTTAAAAAAACACATCTTCTGCTCGTAGGTGACGGATGAGTGCATCTCCAAGTGTGAGGATGCATGCAAGGACCTTGAGAAGGCGTGTGATCCGCTCAAGAGTAGCAAGAAGCCTAAGAAGGCGGCCGCGAACTAGACCAGCTTTAGACTCACTGTCACTGTCCAGCCCGATGTTGGATCAGTTTTCAAGCAAAACCATTGAGAACAATTTTCGAAGTCCAAAACGTAAGCTAGTGTTGTTTCTTTGGGCTTCTGGACAATCAACGCTTGTGAGTGTTGGTGTGTGTTCCATGCATGGTGGCAGTCCACCCAAGGACTGCAGGGAAGCATGGCTTCATACCTAGGACTAGAGCGTAGTTTTGTCCTTTTGAAAGTTCGTTCAATGTGGATTCAAAAAAAAGAATCCTCGATCTAGTGTAGCGAACCGACTTAGACCAAGATGGAACATCTTTGATCTGGAGGACAAAAAACAAGTCGATCCGACGTTTACATATATCAATCAGATTGAACAAACTCGGTATATATAATTCGACATCTTTGTCTTTAACTGCATCACGGTTCCCACGCAGGTGCTGTAGATGATCCAGCTGTCGGAACGCTAGTACACAATGGCATCAACCCTTTGCAGCGAGACATTGTTGAGAGATTGGCAAACTCGGTTCTTTGTCCTTGATCTAAGTTTATTGTGATTTTATAAGTACTAAAATTATACGTGAATATGAAGAACTGCTTGATGAGGCTACGTCTTGCATGGATGCAATGAAAAATATTTCAGCTGCGTATGAGGCGAGAGGTTTGGACACATGAGGTTTGGAGTCTAGATGTTTTCAAGCTAGTGACTCAAAGGAAATCATATGTGGCTTGCTTGTCAGGAATCCAAAGGCAACACTGGAGGATGGACACAGAAGCTGGCGCTCTATAAGAAAGGACGAAATTCTGCTCGAGACTTCTTTAAACAGACCAAGCTTCCATTGGAATCTGACCATAATTACTGTCTTTGCTGAAGTTTGGGATAGATTTCATTAATGATTGATTTTTTTAACCATATTTTTTGTAATCGGTTTCACAATTGATGATGGAACAAGTCCTTCACACATAATGATTTCAGGATCCTATCTACGTGAACGTAGAGTTCAAATCTGGAACCAAGATCTTGCCTGGTCAGCTACCGTGTGTGTTGCCGGAGCAGGTCCTCGAGTATTTGCTGACAGACTGTGGACTAGCTATTGATGACGCGATTGGTCATAGATATTGGAGTCACCTGGAAGAGATCAACGATGAGGTTGCAATTGCAACTCGTGAATTTCGAAGGCTTGCTGGTCGTCATGTAGTGTGGCCCCTCGGGTTGCATGGCGACGATGCCAACATGGGGCTTGTCAATGCTCCATGTGACAAAATTGTTGGAGTATTTCTCAACATTCCAATCTACAGACCGCGCTCCATGAGAATCTCGAGGTTCTATTTATTCAGCTGTGAAGTAAGCCGAATGGTTGATATACAACGGACATTGAATCCGGTGTTGAAAGAGATTGTGCAATCCATCAACAAGTGTATATCAGTTGGCGTGTGTGGGCGGCGCTTTTTGTTGACAGAGTTGCGTGGCGACCAAGTGTGGTTTCGTCAGATTTTCCAACACAAGAGCTCGTGGTCTGCTGTCAATATATGTTTTCGTTGTGGTGCTTCTACAAGACAAGGACCATTGAACTACTTAGTGTATGACGGTTGGCGGCATACTACCAAGTCTACAAATGATTTCTTAGTGGCAGAGCTGCCAACGGAATGGAGTTGCTTGACTTTGTACATTTTTTTGAAACCATTCAGAATCGTCATATGATTTGTCTTTGTTTGTTCGTTTGTTTTATTTAACTGGATTGGACTTGGTAGATAGGATTCACCTATGGTTCATTTAGAATGATTTGTTTTTGTTTGTTCGTTTGTTATGTTTACTGTAATTGGATTGGACTTAGTAGATAGGATTCACCTATGGTCATTATAATTTTTGTTTGAAGCAACGAAAAACAAGGTCCTTTGGTGGACATTTGGCTCTTCTCTATCAGCAGTATAAAGCACTGCATACTTCACATAGTGAATTTGGGTCTATTGCATGTTTCAAACGGCAGCACCATGTGGCTTTGGCTGTAGAACACATTTTGAATTATGTGATGATGTCTGTTTATTCTGTGGAAACAACCCTAAAAACGCGGGCGTTGTTCTGTGACCAGGGAAATCGGACTGAGGGCCCTACTACTTCACATGAACTTGTGGGGAAATGTTACGCCTGGAAGTGATCCAACAGAGTATCGTGTTCCATGTGAGAAAGCCTATGAAGACTCTTTGGTATGGAAACGCCGACACCGTGTGCATTGCGCTGTGAAGAGATTTACATATTGGTCTGTATTCAAAGACGAATATGGGTGCTACATGAACAGCAAGGGCCATGCAGCTCGAGTACTTAGTGTTTGGCTGGAGAGTGTGGTGGAGGAAGTACTTTTGCATCCACCAGGTCATACCACTGAAGATTTTCGGGCAAGGCATATATTGGTTGCATTGCCACTGAGCTTTGAACAAGAAACCTGTTCACGTCTTTTGTTCCTGGCTCGAATAATTTTCGTTAGTAAAGAACACAAGACCAAAACCTCGTTCTCCTGTCCAAATACTTCGATGTGTCTCCACCCCGGCCCAGGAAAGGCATCAATCGATTCTTCGGATTGATCGAGCGCTCGCCTCGAAGATTGAAGCTTGTCTTCCAGCGTCGTCGACAGCCAGGGCGCGGGCGGAAGCATCACGGGTTGAAAGACGTGATGAGTTAGAGTTGTTCTCTCAAGATTTGGTGTTGAGTGGAAACCATCAACAAGTCACAAAGTTGAGGTTGTTTGAACTTAGAATATCCTAATTCCGTTGATGTGCGTTTGTGCACAATCTTGCTTTCCCAGGAGTGTGGAAGCTTCCATGGACATTGAAAAGTCGGGCCGGACTTACCTTCTGGCTTATCGCCTTCTCAATCACTTGTCTGCAAGGACGGAGTGTTTTCCTTTTTTTTTGTCGTGCAAGAGCGAAAACAACAAAGAGTAACTGACCTAACTGACCTGACCTAGAACATATGGTGTATATTTAAATCATGCTGAATTATTTCCGACAACTCTGGTCAGGCAAGGGCAACTTATGTGGGTGGTTGTGCCAAAATGGCATGCCTTTGCTCACGTCTTGGTGGACGAAGTGCTCACACGTCGTGAGATGGCTGCAATAAACCAAGGTTTCTAGGAATCGTACCATGTAAATGAAACACTGTTTTTTATTATCGCAAAAGACTGACTTAAACAAATGACACTATTTGTAGATCATTTGTTCAATCAGTGGGATATGGCCTCAACCCAGGATGCAACCCCCGGTACACGCATACTTATGTGGATGAGGAGCAAATGGGTGTCCTGAAGCAATGGTCCAAACGCAGTGATGGTCGTGGTCGTACATTTCATTTGGGTGGAAGGGCACCTGGTATCTTACGCCTGGCCCGACTTCGCTACAAGACACTGTCCTGGAAGATTCGAGAAATCAGTGCACGTGGCCGCGAACGTCATGGCTTAGTTCCGATCGAAGACCGACTGGCCCAGAAAAAAAGAACCAGGGAAAGCACTGTGGAGGAAACCAATGTTTTGAAGTGCATGTTTGGTGTTTTTCATGTCTCCTTAATGAGTTCAAGGTCTCTGGAACATGATTCAGTGGTACCTGGGGACATGTGATGGTCCTGGAAGGATTTGGAAGGGTTCCTAGAAGAAATATTGTGAAAACTAAGATTCTGGATGGGCTTTGGAAGGTCCTTGAGTAGTTTTGGAGGGTTTTTTGGAATCGCATAAAAAACCAACGAAACTGAGAGCAGGTTAAACTTAGGCGCCACGCAATGTCCTTGGTAAACTTCGTCGTTGTGAAAAGAACAAGTTTACTGACGACGTTGGAAGTTGAGGGTATATATATCATTTTTGGGCGATGCTTCTGTTGGCATTTGTGACCACCCGCCACAGTAAGCTGCGCGGAAAGCACGATCTTTGGTTTGGAGGTGACAACGAAATTGATTGCTATTAAGCACGTATTGGAGGGTCCCTAAAGACTTCGAGCTTGTCAAAAGCCAAAAATTGAAAAGGTTCTGTTAAGCAGTTAAGCCGTTATCTAAATTATCAAATGGATAGATAGAAGGAATTTTGTTGAGGGGTAATGGGCCTTAGTGAGCTCATTGTCGCAAAAACTGGTGCGAGGACAATGTGCTCAATGATAGTAAACCATGGACCACAGCAGAAAAATCCGAAAGGATTGCAAAGTTTCAATGATCCACGGACGCGAGAAGAGGCCAGGTTGCTGGAATAATTGGTGATGCTGCATGTAACTTCAAGTTCGATAATAATGGGTTCCTCATATGTTTCCCTCAGCTTGTGACCTTCAGGAGGGGGATAACATTATATATATATGTATATATATACACATAATCGTGCCCTGACATTTGAAAACATGCCCATGATTCAAAGCAGGTTGACTTTGCATTTACGCCACCGATATATGTTCCACATGCCTATGTTATGTTCAAAGCGGATTGACTTTGATATATTGGAACATAAAATCCGTGCAAGGGGCTGCGATTTCGCCAATGCATCCGATCTTCCACATCACCAACCCCCAAAGTGAGAGCCCCCGCTTCCAAATCCGAACTACATGAAGACTACTGCCTCCGCCTCAACAAATATCAACTTCTGAACGAGTGTATAACTATAGAAGGATCCCAGTCAGTCGAGTTCGCAGATCGTCCCAAAGCTGGACCTATTGGCAAGATGCCCGGGCACCCGTTCACAGTGGCAGGCCCAGCGTTTTGTGAGACGGTGAGTGTTTTGCGCAGTCACATTGGGATTGGCGTTTGGAGGGTGGTGTTTTTGGGGTGTTGGATGTGGCTGTGACATTGGGGCTGTGTGTTTCAGGCTGTTGCTTCGAAGCTGTGTTTTCGTGTCAGAACGCGTCGAAATCATTCCAAACGTGTGGTGTGGTGCAAATTTTGTTGACGCTGACATCGATATGATGTGGCAGGCACAGTACTTTGTGCGTGTTTTGAGGTGTGGGAGTACAATTAATTGTCGTGGCAGGCGCAGGGGATTGTGAGGTTGCGAGGTGTGGCGGAGGATCGTGGCAGGCGTAGTGCGTGTTACAGGCATCGAGGTGCAAATTTTCGTGGCAGGCGCAGGGAATCGTGAGGTTGCGAGTTGAGGTGGAAGTGAATGTCGCTAAAAAAATTGGGATCGGCGTGTGGGCGAGGGGCTGGAATCGCGGAACTGCTTGGCAGGACTCCTTGATGTGTGTGCTCCGATGGGGCTTCCCGCTTGACTTTTGGAGGAAGTCTCGTGCGAAACGCTTGTTTTGGAGACTTGACGAGTGACTTGTGGAAGAAGTCTCGAACGAAATGCTCGTGTTGCAGACTTGACATGTGACTTTTGGAGGAAGTCTCGTACGAAACGCACGTTTTGGAGACGTGACGGTTGACTTTTGGACCTGGAGAACTTTAGTAGTGGTGCCCCACACGAGTTTCCCACAAGAGTGTCCTACAAGAGTGTCCCGCAAGAGTGTCCCACAAGAGTGTCCCGCAAGAGTGACCTACAAGTCCTGCAAGAGTGTCCTACCACAAGAGTGTCCGACAAGAGTGTCCTACAAGCGTTTCCTACAAGGGTGTCCCACAAGAGTGTCGTACAAGAGTGTTCAGTCCGTGACCCACAAGACAGTCCTACAAGAGTTACAAGAGTGCCCCACAAGACTTGTTCCACAAGAGTGTCCGACAAGAGTGTCCTACAAGAGTGTCCCACAAGAGTGACGAACAGGAGTATCCTACAAGAGTGTCCCACAAGAATGACGTTAGACTTTAGGGGGTCTGAGGGTGGTGCGTTAAAGTGGTAAGCCACGTTTAATTAGCCTGCTAGTTTTTGACTTTGCCAAGGAGGTGATGTTGGGTGGGTTGGTGATGCAGAAAAAGCAAGGTGAAAGGGTTGGCGTGTATTGAATGATTGGGTGACGTTCTACTCAGACTTACTGGTTCACGGTTTTATGTGGCCTTTGCTGGCGGGTGACGGTGCAGGGGTGGTGGATGAGGAAACTCTTCTTCAAGCTCTACAAACTGGACTCATTGACAAACTAGGTTGGGAGGACCAGATCAAGTAGCAAAAATCATCAGTACGGTTAATCAATTGACGTTCAACAAAGTATTTCTTTTTCGTAGATCTAAAAGAGGACATTCTCGTTCAGGAAGAGGAATTGCTGCACACACGGTGCTGGAGGGCGTTTTGACATGTGATACAAACAAGTCTAGCAGTTGGTTTCTCTGGTTTTCGTTTCCTCATTTTTGGGTTGTTTGTGTGTGTACGTCACAAGATGTTGTTTTTTTGCACCGGTCCTTTTGATGGTCGGTTAAGATTCTTCGACTTGTGACGGGAACCCCAAAGAACATCTCACCTTGGTTAAATTGCTGGATGGTTCTAACAAACCCATTTTGAACCTTGTGCTCAAAAACACATTTTAGAAACAATGGTTCTCACACGCCACAACGGGAACAAAACAAATACTGTACAGGCAAAACTGTCCATTTGCACTATTCGGGGAGCCCCGCTGGAATCCTGAAGACGCAACTCAACAAAGTTCAATCCGCATATTGAAGTACTATGGAGTACTGACCATGCAGCACATTGCCTATAAAAAAGCAGTCGTCACATGACGTTTTTGTCCACGGACCCGGCCGCCGCTTTCGGACAGATGGTTTTCTTCGACACACCAGGTGTGATCTATAGTGGGAAGAGTTTTCTGCTTGTTAACTTGAGTGAGCTTCGTTGACCCTTTGCTGCACAAACCACCTTCGCTGCGTGTGTTTCTGTGTGTGTGTTTGGACCTGTCAACCACCCCATGTCACACGCTTCCTCCTGCGGCTCTTCAGCATTGATGGTTCGGGTTGAGTTTTTGAGGTTTGGACGTGGCTGGGTGCCCTGAACCCTCGCTTCTACCCCATCGAAGCGCAACCCGCCATCCGCCGTGTGGCACGCCCGGCGCCCGGGACGTCTACTGAACGATGTCGGGTGAAAGGGGGTGTGGTGTGTTGGCCACCTCCCACGAAGACCTCACACGGAAGTGGAAGGCCGTCAGCCCCTGGGAGGACGAGGTTGCACAAAGTTCCTTTGCAAGCATGTTGGTGTTGCTCTTCCAGGTTCTTGAGTTTGTATTCCATGGTTGAAGTTTTGCCGGTTTTGAGTGTCAGTTCCTTTAGTGCAGCAGCGAAGATATCAATACCACCGCCAACTAGCGCAACTGGCCCAACTAAACTGTTCAATTTGAGCTTGATGAACATCCCGACTTAGCATAGTTGACTTTCGGACTTGGCTGACGTCGATGAGGGAACAACCAGTTTGGATGAACACCACACCAATGAGACAGATTCACAAAGTCCCCATTCCAGATGGGTAGTTGGTGAACGGTTCCCACGCAATGAGTTTCTCAACCCTGCATCTCAGATCCCACGCGAAGAGACCTGCCTGCAAAAACCTCAAGCCCAGCATCCAGAGCCAAATCCGGCCAAGCGCTGCCCTCCTTGGTGGGCGCAAACCAGAAAGCAGACCTTCCAGCAATTTTCCCAAGCATTGAGCCACAGCATCCTATGCCACAAATTTCAGGAATCTAGATGATTTTTCGTGAAGCGAATCCAGAGGGCCTTTGACCTTCCTTCACCTTCCAGGTCGTTTCGCTACCGGTCCCTGGGGCGCTGGCGTGCGGGAGCCCACTCTTGCGACGTGACCGAGCCCCTAGTAGCTTCTTGTTCCTAGTAGCTACTTGCTCCTAGTAGTACGGCCAGGAGCCCCGTTCGTAGCGTCCTTTGTTCCTAGTAGCGATGCCAGGAGCCCCTATCGCAGCTTCTGTGAAAACGAAAAAAGGAAGTCTCTCGACTTTCTCCGTGCGACGGTTGGACATGGGACAGCAGATGTTTCAAGAGAGTTACATGGATGTTGACGAACTGCCGAAGATTGATGCAGGTTTGGTGGGGAAACACTCTCCAATACTTCGTGGTGGTTTGGATTGGAACCATGCTCCTTTGGCAGGAGGCGGGCTTTGGGAGAGCGCTTAGCCAGGCAGTTGAAATCACTGTCCGACTATCCTATTTAATATATCATGTCTCATCTTCCAGTTGAGTCCAGTTGAATTGTTGCTTCCGCTTGAAGCTTTCTCACTGTGCTTGCTTTTTCAGGCCAACGGTCAGTCACGAAAAAAGGCTTGCGACCCCCAATTTCTTCGTCACGCTGGGAGGAAAGAAATCTGCATCCCAGGTGCTTCTTCCTTTGAATTGTGTTTGTTTGATGTCTTTGGCGCTTCTTCATCTCATACGGATCCAGCTTTGTTTCTCAAACTGCCACAGACCGACAAAACCGACCAGTCTTGCCGGGCTTCTCCGATCGCGACAATTGGACTCTTCAGACCGCCAGGGATGCCCTCAACTGGACTACTACGCCTATGGCGCGCCAGGCCGTGCCAGCTCTTGACATCGCTCGGATCAGACATAGCTCGGATCAGAAGTTCTGTTTTATCGTATGCTTGTACGTATCCATTGCCTCCGCGTGCGTGCCCTGGGCATCTCCCCATGAGTTGGCAATGAACCATCGTATACACACAAGGATGACACGAGACAGCTTTTTGGGGGAGGAGAGAGGATGTTTGCTTGATTAGCGCGTTTGCGCTCTGCGCCATTATTGGGGGGGAATGCCCTCGATTGAAGTAGATGGTGACGGCGACTTGTAACCCAACACTACGAAGGTCGGAGTGCACTGGCGCAGCCAGGTTTGAGGTTTCACCCATTAGCTGCCATCCTTTGCCATCCTTTGCACATCTCATCATGATGCCATCCTTTGCTGTGTTCTTTTGAACATGGTCCCAATATTGGTTTTATGTTGCTAAAACCCGTTCATTTGACTTCATTTGTACGGGCTTTTGGTTTAATCGTGTTGTTTGCATTGTTTTTCCATCAGCAACTGCGTATATAATATAGGCATCTACCAAATGTGGGCACAAATAAGATTCATGGATTTTATTGTATTTTCATGTATTTTATGTGATACTAATTATACCCACAACCAGTCAGCCCACCCCACCGCATCGCCCAGATCAGCCCTGGCCGCCCCTGGGCGGCTTTTGCGAGCAGTATCAGGCGGTGGGGCGGGCGCGGGCGCGGGGGCGCGCCGCCTCATCAAAGAGCCGAGCAAAGGTCACAAGAATACAAATTTGCAATGCATCTCCAACTAACTCCTGAAACAGTGTTTGGGGTGGGTTTGGAATATGCAACTACTTCTTCAGGGCGTACTTGAAACCCTTCAAGAGGAATGAAGCATGTTCATGCATGTTCCAGGATTATTAGGTGTCAATTATATAGTCAATAATGGCTTTGGCAGAATGAACCACGACAAGGATGGCGAACTTGGCGAGCCTCCCCGAACTGCACGGTAGAACCAAGAATGAACTACTTGCCCTTTGGATATGGAAGCCGCCGGTAAAGTCGCAAGCTCACTGCATTGGACCGGAAGAGTTCGTTTGTCCATCCCCAAGTCAGTGACGGGGACTAGTTTGTGATCTTGTAATCTTGGTCAGGTGCTGTCCTGAAAGTCGCGGCCCAAACTCAAAGACATTGGAAATAGAAGACCAAACCCATTGAATAGCTTGCTACCGGCACCCCTTCTCGTCGAGAACCACACTGCGGGCAGGAGAAGCTTTGCCTCGAAAATCATCAGCATTGATAGGTTTTAAAAACACCTTTTAGTGGTAGGGTAGGGGAGTGAGTCATACCCAACATTACCCGCCGATGACCGGAAAGCAATCAAAAACACAAATGCGACATGGCATATGGCTGAGCTGCGTTTCGGGCCGCCCATGTGTGCAGTCTATCAGTGAGGCGCTGGGATATGGTGATGGTGGATTTGCTGGGTGCTGTCATATCTGACTTAATTAAAGACGATATAATATGCCAATATCCAATAATATCCCATAGGTAGTTATTTCACACTAAGGGAATGTTGATTTTTGTGCATAATTAGTTGCTATTTCTCTCCAGGCATAGTAAGAAATGGATGTTTGATGATGTTTGTTATTTGGTGGTTTAACCCATGTCGCTCTCTGTCACAACCAAGACTTGGAGGACCACTGCACTCGAAGAGCCGCACTCGAAAACTCGAAGAGCACTCACTGGTTTGACACAGACCCACATCATACGCAGACCTGTTGCGCTGTGCTTTAGCAAAAAGTCCAATTGGGAGCCGATTGAGCGATGAGGTCCATGATCAGCAATGGCCATGATTATTGATGAGGAACAAACATATGCACTATTTGATCCATAGCGGAACAAAATCCTCATATTTCAAGCAGCATGTTTGTCCTCATATTTAAAACAAAAAACACCATACATTTCAATCCAGACGACCACCGCTTCCAAAGCTCGGAACGAGGCTGATTGCCTGAACTCAGTTGTTGCATCCTGTCGTGTGCAAACACACCAGCAACACAGCCACCAACCATTGCTGCCACAACTGCAACCTCGAGCAGGCCCGTTTGGCAGTGGGAAAGGGCCCCAATGCTGGCTGCAGATGAGGACAGGAGTTGGTTCTTGAAACCATTCACGAAACCGTGAAGAAGCCTCCAAGATCCACAGCTAAAAGGGACGAGCTCTTGGAGGAGAAACAAGCTCCTTCAATAAAGTGTGAAGTGTCTCCGGATCCTTCGCATCAGTTTGTGAAGCAGTGACTAATTCGTGTGAATTCATTTGTTGGCAAATACTGAAAACTCGGAAGCTCGGCTCTTGCAGCTGCATTTGTGGAGCATTCTTCCAACATATAGGGGATTCTCAAGGATTCAGGGATTGAATCAGTGAACGCAGACCTGGTTTCAGCGGCCTGCCTTACACTTCCCTCCAACCCTTTTTGTTTTGTTTTGGTGTGAATACAGGCAGTATATGAAACATGTTGATTGTGCAATTAATTGGCGGATTAGTCGTCATGAGCGAGGAAGCCTGTGGTGTGAAAGGGTCAGGACCCCACTCATGAACAAGTCCGAGACAAAGAGTGTTCTTGAAGGTTCTTGATTTGGGATTCTGGATTATTTTGCATTATGTTGCTGTGTTTTTGTTTAATGCATATCCTGATTTGGCCGGGCGGAGCCTCGGCTGTGCACGCCGAATTTGCTCGCCTGTGCATGCGCTTTGCTCGGTTACCGAGGCTCGGTTGTGCACGCGCTCCCTCGGTTGTGCACGCCGCTTTGCTCGGCTGAACGGATGAATTAAAGAGTGAAATAATGAATGAATGATTGAATGAATGAACGAATAAACGAATGAATGGATGAATGAATGAATGAAATGAATGAAATGAATGAACGAATAAATGAAATGAATGAAGTGAAAGAAATGAACTGAACTGAGCTGAACTGAATGAATGAATGAATGAAGGATGCAGAGCATCATGGTACTGTGGAAGCAATTAGCAAATAAAGATCATGTAGATGAATGTCCAGAGGGACGTTCTTAACACCCCTCCACCCCCCACCTCCCCACCCCCCCATCCTCCCATCCCAACCCAACATCATCAATCTGTGTGACATGGTGCTGTGGAAGCAATTAGCCAAAAGAAATCATCATGTAGATGAATGTCCAGAGGGACGTTATTGACACGAGCATGTCTGTGGAGACCTGACCCAACGACATATCATGAAAGAATGACATATCGTGCACACATCACATCAACTCAATTTGTGTGTGTGCAGGTGAGCGAAATCTGTGTGCGCGGCTGAGTTTGACGTAACATGCACTGTTTAAAGAAGAATGTAATCGATGTGGGCGCAGCTGAGCGAATCCTGCGTGCGCAAGTGAGGCGCCGTCCATTTGGGGCGAATGTCGTTTCTTCTCAACCGGTGCCAAGTCAGTTGACAGACTCTTGATATATTCGTTGGATCGCTAGCCAGCTGGTTTGTGAAGGCTCCACATGAGGATTCACACCAAATTCACCAAACTTAGACCTGCTTGGCTGCTTGACCAGAAGAACTGACTGTTCTTGTCGTTTCCGGACGTGTTTTTTCCGGAAGGCGGTTCACCATGGTTCACCGCAGTGTTCACCGGGATGCCAGGAGGTGTCCAACCCTCCCAATGGCCGGAGGTCGAGACTGGTCAGCAGGTGGACGATGGAGGATCATTAAAATAGAAATGATCCATTACATAGAAAATGGAAGCAAAATCCATGTTGAGGATGGAAGCAACATTCCAAAAATAGTGACCTGTCCAAGACCACCTGTTCAATTACGCACAAGAAAACCGGTCCGTTTCACACATGTTGTGCATGACAGTGGTGCAAAGAGTGCGGGAACTGCTACATTTGCCACGACTGCTACCGAGTACAGAAGCATACTGGCTTTTCGTGGGGTGAATGTTTTGTACGTGTTCCTTGTATCGACTGTATCGGCAAGATTGGACCTCAAGAGGGCACAGGAACCATCTAATTTTCATCCTAAGGAGAACACATCTCGCACCGAAACACATTTATTTTCCATGTTCTTGTTCTTTTCAGAGATTCCAAGTGTGGAACAGCGTGGGCCACGAGCGTCCGAGGTGGGTCACACCGCTTATGGGCACGCTGCTGGTGCACGCGTTGTGCGCCGTGCCGTTGCCTCGCGCTTGGGTGCCGGGCACACCGAGGCACCGGGCCATGGGAGCGACGGGCAGACGGGCAGGACGTTTCCGGCAGAGATGGGTCAGACTGAGAGCGGAATGAAGGGGTACAGGTAGAAATCATGGTAAAAAATGTAGAAACATGTCGAAACCATAGGAAACCAGAGGAATCAACATGAACGCACCACTATTGGCCTTGAGCCGGTTGTACCCTACAGATCTGCACGGCACCGCTCAAAGACTCATTCTGCTAGTCCCAACAAAAAATCGATGGTTCTTTAAGCAACCATGTTGTGCATAACCCCCCCCATGTGATTTCTATATTTTGTGCGTGGTGAAAAGGGTTTGCAGAGCGCTTCTCAGGCACGTTTGAGAGAACTCCTTCAGCAAACTGAACTCCTAACAAAAACACAAACATCGTCAACCGTCTCGTCCACCTATCGGCGTCCTGGACGCCGTTCGTTGGGGAGCGCCACTCGAGGCCCGGACGCCCCAGAGTGCCACGAGAAGTGCAGCGCGTGCCTTTGCGCGTGACGCTGCGGGAGGTCACACATGTGCCCAGCAGGCCGCTGAAGACACGGGTGAAGCAGACCATCTCCGCAGGTAGAAGGCCGCCTGACCATCTCATGGGGGGGATGTGGTCAGTGTGGTAGAAGGGGTGCATTCGAGTTTTGGACCCAGGTGGTGGGGTTCAAATGCATTCATGCATCATGAAGGGTCCATGGAGTCATGGACGGTCCATGCAATTCGATGTGAATCTGCTTTGGACGAGTGCAAAAACCTTCAGTGGATTGCGACAAGCATCCATCAGCTGTATATATGTTATATTTAAGTTCCTTTGTTCAAGGTACATGTCCACCTACCACGTGAAGGTGAATTCAAGTCGTACCGAATCTCCGAGAATCTCCTCCTTTTTCTTTGATTGGCCGGTTTTTGGTCGGTCAAAAACCTGGATCCTTTCAGGTCAGCGAATCGGAGCCAAATATGTGAAGTGGATTGAGAGTAGATGGCACATGGACCCCCATCTAAAGGACATTTTGGGGGGCCAGTGCCATCTACTCTGAAACCACTGTAACTAAATTGCTCCAGCGTTCGCAGTGAGGCTCAAGAAGATTGAGAACTTGATGGATGCGGAGCTGGCGCGTTGAAACCTAGTTACCTAGTTGGGTAGGCACAGAGCAGACAGACGCAAGCTTTGGGGAGTCCCTGATATGTTTTATATGAAGCTGGAAGCAAGTACTTTTGGTTTATTTGTTCTGTCCTTGTGGCTCAGTGAACACTCTAGTCAAAAAGAAAGAAGAGCGGAACAGGCGCAGATTGCCAGAGGGAAGCGGCAAGGATGTTGCGGGTCTATGTTTTGCTTGCAAGTCTCTCCAACAAAGGCAGGTGCACGGGTTTGAGACTCTAATCATTATGGCACCTTTTATCACCAGGAAAGACCTTTCCAGGTATGTGTTCCTTGACTGATTGGTGCTCTCAATGTTTTTCACCTCAACCGGAGGCCTTTT